AATGCTTCCTTGCCATTTCATAAAGCAGCTTATGCTAGTAGAGGTTGTCCCTTGAAATTTGAGAAAATATGGTCACCATGGCTCCAGTCTGCTAATACAGTAGGTGTCTAATTGTATATGCTTTGAGTATCTGCCCTTAGAGTCTCTGCACATCACTAGTACCTAGCCTCTACTCCTTGCTCGTAAAGCAGCTACACAGCATGAAACTTCGTTCTAACCCAAAAGGTAGCTGCTCAGATGTGTATTTTGTTTCTGTTTGCTGCATAGATAACTAACGGGATGGAGTATATTGGATTTATGTGGACGTCATCTGAGCCTGAGTGTTGGGGAGGGGGATTGTTGACCGGACTACGTTAGGAACGATTTGGGGTGTACTGGCCTTCAATCTCCTTTTTTGAGATTGGGTCACTCGACACTCTAAATACTTGTACCTCATACCTTGTACTGTACTGTTATGACACTATGTTAGTTTTGATATATTGTAAAACGAATAAAAATATTTTTTTAAAGAAAAAGAAAAAATTTATATTTGTTCTTGTAGCAATTGTCTAAGATGAGATTTCCCTCGCATTCAAAAGATATCCTTCCACTTTTTGTTGAGTCTACAGGATAGGAAGTGAAAGCAAATCACCCTAAAGCTGGCAATACACCTATAGATTATCTGCAGGTTTTCTATGGTCAGATGTAAAAACTGCAACAGATTCCTCCATCTACGCTAAACTGTGTGGATGGAGGAATCTCCCACTGGGCCAAGCTTCAGTATCTTGCTAGTCAGCCCCGCTGGCTCTCAAAACACCTGAACAATTATAGTGTATGTAGGATACATAATATCTGCAGATTTTCTATGGTCAGATGGAAAAAGTGCAACAGATTCCTCCATCTACGCTAAAGTGTGTGGATGGAGGAATCTCGCGCTGGGCCAAGCTTCAGCATCCTGCTAGTTGGCACCGCTGGCTGTCAAAATACCTGAACAGTCTGATTGGATGAAGGCATTGTTCAGGTGTTTTGAGAGCCAGCAGTGCCAACTAGCAGGATGCTGAAGCTTGGCCCAGCGGGAGATTCCTCCATCCACACAGTTTAGCGTAGATGGAGGAATCTGTTGCACTTTTTCCATCTGACCATAGAAAATCTGCAGATAATTTATAGGTCTATGGCCAGCTCGCAGATGGCAAAAAAAAAAAGACAGCGCTTTTAACCTTTCCAGTTTCTTTTCCAAAATGAAATCCTACATACACTATTTTTTATATATTTCCTACTATTGTCTTTTTATATGTCGTGTGGGTTGTTTTGGTTTTTTTTCCCTCTCGTTTGTTTATGTTTATGTTATGACTCAATAATGGTTTCCATAATGTTTTTGCACACAAATTTGTGGAGGGTTCTGGACATTCATGAAGGGATCATATTTGATCATTAAAAGAGGAGGTGAAAATGGGTCCATTAGAATATGTAATAAAGGTATCTTTATTTGATTGTTCCTGAAAGCCTAAATCCAGCCAAAATGTTTTACTTTTGATAAAGCAGAGAAGAGTTACAGCCTCATGTTTTTATTGCTCTCAAGGGGAAGGGATTGGAAATCTATCTAATGCGCACGCAAATAAAATAAAAGGGCACATTTTTAGTAAAGTGAAAGGGGTAACAACAATGTTTTTATTGCTGTCTGTGTCTTCCTTTCAATGTGATGATCACTCCCCTCATTTCTAACAAGGGCATCATTTGTATTTCCTGTGGGTCTACCCTGTTAGAGGGCAAAATAATTTCTGGACTAGTGCCCCCTGCTGGCTGTGTCCATCACTGTATTTGCCCAAAGCATCTAATAACACTACTTGATACATTCTCTTGCAGCAAAAGCTGAAATACAGTTGGTTCCTGTGGACTCCCATTTATGTTACCCAATTAAGTCCCGGGCTCTTTTCTCTCTAACGTCCAGATCCTTTTCTTTTCGTTTTGGTGATGTCTCAGTTCTGCACGTTTAGGTTCTGTAGTCTACCCTAATGTAATATGAACCATTTGTTCCAGACAAAAAATGCATTCATTTGGTAGCAAATTTGGATACATTTATTTTTATGGGAATCAATAGTAAAAAAAAAATAGAAAAAAATGAATTTTTCTGTAATTTTTTTCCAACGCAGTAGTTATGTAATTTGTACATATTACATAAATGCAGCAAATATTTATCCTAAAATGTAATCAACAAAGTCTGGTGTTTAAAATAATATGACATTAGTTCATTAGTTTATTTTTATGCAATGTAGTAGAATGGTAACGCTCAAGGTGAATGTAAGCGTATTACTTTAGGAAAGCTTTATTCTCCTTTCAACGCGGCATTGCGATACTTGCAGGGGGGAAACATGGTTTGCTTATATTGTTAGCATAACATTAAGATAAGTATAAGTTGGGTTGACAAGGGCACCAATTAGCACGACTGTGACTTTTTCACAGGTACGCGATAAAAATTCAGAATTACATTGTGTTCAATTACTGTATGTGAGCATTTGATGCTTTCACAGTGACGACAAATGTCATCCAGAATATCCAACCAGGGGAATAATCTGAGAAAGGGAATATTTCTATTTATTTTTAGAATGATATATATATATATATATATGTGTGTGTGTGTGTGTGTATATATATATATTTATATATATTCTAATTTTTCAATTTTTTTACACTTTTTTTATTTATTTTATTACAGTTTTTCCATTACCAGCTTTTTCATTGAGGGTCTTGATCTGGTCCGTGGAGATCCAGGGCCGGTATCGCAGGTGTTGGCAGGTAGCAGGGAGAGACCAGCGGACGTCCATTCGTTGCTCTCCTCCCCACTGAATGAAGCTAGAAGTGACGCTGATTGCATCACTTCCAGCTTCTGAGCTGTCATGCCTCGGGGCGGCAGCGGTGTGGAGTCCCCCGATGCCCGGAACATACATTTCCGGGCGCCGGGCGGGTAAGTTGCCTTGAGGGGAATCCGCTCGTACGTTTACAGGTGATCGCGGCGATGTCGCCGCAATCACTTGTAAAATCTGTGCAACCTGTTCGTCCGCCCCCACACACTTACCTCTCTCCTCTGGTTCCGGCCACCGAGTCTCTCCTCACTTGCCGTCGATGTGGGGAGCAGAGCGGCAGGGTTAAAAGTAACCCTGCCGTTCCGTGTAGACTGTGAGAGGGGAGAGCTGTGCTCTTCCCGTCTCACCTGTCACAGGAGTTCCAGCACAGTGCTGTGCTAGAACTCCTGTATTGGAGGTGACACGGTCAATAAAGATAAAAAATTGACACTAACCCCGCCACCCTGCCATCTGGTTGCCATTCTCCATTAATGGGAAGGGGGGGTTTGCGGGGGGCGCATAGCAGAACCTGGCCTTGGGGCGGCAGGGATAAGTACAAATACATATTAATGGATAACTATAAACTGATGACCTGTACAGGCTTTTAAAATGTTGTATATGGATAATTTGGGGTACTGTATTTTTTCGCTGTTTCACGGGTGCACTCAATTTTTAAGCTTGGAATGTTGGGTACCCATTTACTCAGCGCAACCTCATCGTTTATATTTTAGGTCAAAAATGGGTATTATATTGCGTTTTTGTGCACTAAAATTGACTTGTGTATTTTTAACCACTTCAGGCGAGTTCGCTTATATGTACGTACTCTGCCTGAAGTGGTTATACCAAGTACACAGCTAATGCTGCTGCAGCCGTGTTCTTGGTATCATTTTAAACAGCTAGCGATGTTCAGGTACAATAGCGGCACTGTTTGCACCCCTCCGCCGCCGCCACCCGCTACCCCAGGCTACGCTGTCCCCCATGCGGGCCCGGGACCAGCACCGTGGGTCTCCCCACTTTGATCGGAGGGAGATCAGCAAGCTTCTAGCCGCTGATCTCTCCTTCGATCACTGGACCCAGAAGTGATGTGTATTACATCACTTGCGGTGTCACTGTTTACATTCTCCGGCTCTTGGAGCCAGGAGAAGAAGCTGGCGAAGCAGATCTCTGCTTCATCAGCTTCTTTGGGGTCCCTAGATGACATTAGGGGTCTGAAAGACCCCTGATGTCTCCATAAAGAGGACCTGTCACATCATATTTGCTATCACATAGTGGTTCCCTATGTAATAGCAATAAAGTTAAGTGTAAAAAAAAAGAAAATTAAAGTAACATTAAAAAAAACAATGCTAAAAATGTTTTGTTAAACTCTACCCGCCCCACATGCACACACATACAAACACAAACATGCGTTGGATGCGCCTACGTGCAAAAAAGAAAATTGCACCACTCATTTTACATACCGCTGAGAACATTGGAGTGCGAGCAATAATTATAGGGCTATCAATCACTGTTAACACTAAACTGATTGTGAAATTTGGGAAATTTTGGATATTGTATTTTTTGCAGGTTTCACGGGCGCAACCAATTTTATGGCATGACATGTTTGGAATCTATTTACCCGGTGTGACCCCCATCTTTTATATTTTACAAAAAATTGGGTATTATATTTTGTTTCTGTGCACTAAATTTCATTTCAGTGTATTTTATCCTAAAAATACCGGTTTGATTAATTATTATGACATAAAAATGTGCAACTGCCACCATTTTCTTCTACAGGTTCTCTGTTGGGGTTTAAGTAAATTTCAGGCTTATAATGTGGATGTAATTATGTGCAAAAAACACTCTGACAGCAAAAACGTTAAAGGAGCAAGTCAGCAAAAAAGTAATTCCGTTGTCTTTTTCAGAGGCAGGTCAGCACTGGCAGCCCCCTGCTCCTCTCATGACAGGTTCTCTTTTGTGTTTTTTTGCTGGGGAGAAGTCCGCACATGCTCAGTCAGCACCACCTAGTGGTCAGCGGGGGCGAGCATGGAGCGTGCACGTCTATAGAGATGCCGGGGATGCAGGCTGTGCTGTAACAGCAGCTTATTGTCCCTGAGAATCAGAGCTACATTGTAACAGTGTCACGCCTAGCAGATGTGAACGATACTTCATCCCGGAGCTGTGCACCGCTACGTACCGGGAATGGGCAACTGAGCTCGGACTGTCAGCGGAGGAGAGCGGTGCTTGGCTGAACTCGGGAAGTACGAAGTTCGGTGGACTCGGGGCAAGGAGAGGACATGGACCTCCTGCTCCACCCAGCGCCTCCTAACCCGTCCGGGTAATCTAGGTGAGACACCAAAGCCAAGTCCAGCTCCGAGAATCCTGAGAAGTGGGGATCAGATGCCGGTACACTACGCTCTGACACTGACAGCTGGGGACCGGCACAATGCCTGTGTGCCCATTGATGGAGAGTTATTTCCTAGGGGGCAGCTGGGGCACTTCTCTCCTACTGAGGGGTAATAGACATTGTGGGTGTAGAAGTTGTGTGTGCATGGGGCCAGAGCTTTAATGTTATGTGTCTGACTTTAAAGTCATTGCTGAGTGTGGCCGAATTCAGTGCTTTCTTGTCTGGAGAAGTGCTTTTTGGCTTGCTGGTGTTTGGCTTGCCCCTTGTGTCTGGTCTGTGTATTTCTTGCTGGTGTCTCTTCAAAGTGTAAAAGTTGTATTTGGGGGTCTATTGCATTTTAGGAGAGCAGTAGGTTTGGCTTGGATTGAGAGGAAAACAGGAGAATGATTTGCGTTAGCAGTATTTGTACATAGATGAGTATGGGTTATGTGTGTATATAGAAGGGTGAGTATGGGTTATGTGTGTACAGAGAGAGATGGGTATGGGTTATGTGTGTGCATAGAGGGATGAGCATGGGTTATGTGTGTACAGAGAGAGATGGGTATGGGTTATGTGTGTATATAGAAGGGTGAGTATGGGTTATGTGTGTACAGAGAGAGATGGGTATGGGTTATGTGTGTACAGAGAGAGATGGGTATGGGTTATGTGTGTACAGAGAGAGATGGGTATGGGCTATGCGTGTACAGAGAGAGATGGGTATGGGTTATGTGTGTACATAGAAGGATGAGTATGGGTTATGTGTGTATATAGAGAGATGGGTATGGGTTATGTGTGTACATAGAGGGATGAGTATGGGTTATGTGTGTACATAGAGGGATGAGTATGGGTTATGTGTGTACATAGAGGGATGAGTATGGGTTATGTGTGTACATAGAGGGATGAGTATGAGTTATGTGTGTGCATAGAGGGATGAGTATGGGTTATGTGTGTACATAGAAGGATGAGTATGGGTTATAGGAACACATAGAGGGATGAGGATGGGTAATGTGCGTACATCAGGGGTGGCCATTAGGTAGATCGTGATCTACCAGTAGCTCCCAAAGCTGATGCTGGTAGATCAGGAAGGGTGTGAATGGCGGCCCCTTTATTCCATTTTGGTATATTTATTGAGCTGTGCACACATGGTTACCTATTAGCCTGAGTCTGCTGAGCCAAGCTCACTGACACCTTTCTGGTGGATACTGGTGGTTGAAGTGCTATGTATTACATCAAAGAATATTAGTTTACACAGCCTGTTGCACTGCACTGTTTGCAAAATACAGCAAGGTGAGCCAGGAGAGAGAGCGGGGAGAGACAGCCAGGGGAGAGAGCGAGGAGAGACAGCCAAGAGAGTGAAGAGAGACAGCCAGGAGGATGAACAAGGAGAGACAGCCAGAGGATGAGCAAGGAGAGACAGCCATGAGAGAGACAGCCAGGAGGATGAGCAAGGAAAGACAGCCAGGAGAGAGAGAGAACAAGGAGAGACAGACAGGAGGATGAACAAGGAGAGACAGCCAGGAGGATGAACAAGGAGAGACAGCCAAGAGGATGAGCAAGGAGAGACAGCCAGGAGGATGAGCAAGGAAAGACAGCCTGGAGGATGAGCAAGGAAAGACAGCCAGGAGGATGAGCAAGGAAAGACAGCCAGGAGAGAGAGAGCAAGGAGAGACAGCCAGGAGAGAGAGAGCAAGGAGAGACAGCCAGGAGGATCAGCAAGGAGAGACTGCCAGGAGAGAGAGAGCAAGGAAAGACAGCCAGGAGGATGAACAAGGAGAGACACCCAGGAGGATGAGCAAGGAGAGAGACAGCCAGGAGAGAGACAGCCAGGAGAGAGACAGCCAGGAGGATGACCAAGGAGAGACAGCCAGGAGGATGAGCAAGGAGAGACAGCCAGGAGAGAGAGAGCTAGGAGGATGAACAAAGAGAGACAGCCAGGAGAGAGACAGCCAGGAGGATGAGCAAGGAAAGACAGCCAGGAGGATGAGCAAGGAAAGACAGCCAGGAG